ATACCTAGACACAGGAGAACTATTGTCATGAAAGTGTTGTACAGTCGATTACGAATTTAGATTGCAGAGAGTTTGTTCTGAGCGCTAAAGGCACTCACGATAGAGCACATTTTGCTTTATTCTAACAGTCTGTTTGAATGCAATCCACTCTTTGCATTGCTTGATTGACTGCTTCACCGCAGTACAATTTCTTTGACCACCACTCAGATAATTTAGGAACCAGTTTATTGTAGTCCTCTCTACGCCGCAACTCTTGCTTGGCAATTCGTAGTGCCTCAAATTTGTCGGCCGTTTGTTGATTCCTTTGCCAACAGAACCACTTCTCAACTTTGTGAAGACATCAAATCCATGCAAAGAGCTCCGGATCCCAACTATCCAAATGCAACTATCGGAGTCACAAAGCGATGACTATCCATCGTATCTCCAAATACTCCTCATTTTGGTTCAGCAAACCCATACACCAGCCCTTGGAACCATCCCAAATCTCCTTTTTATTGGTCAATTCTATGATGAAAACCCGGATCTCATGGAAGGGGACTCCTGCCCACTTCCTCCTCATCCTCCAAAGTTCAACAATCGTGATGGTCCAATCATGATGGAAAACATTGAAAGTTGGGCTCATAGTGCCTATAGCTACCATGGAATTTGCCTTGATTATATTTTGCATGAAAATTCTGCACTCCCAGTTGTTGGTGACCCTGGGTTCCTCTGAGCCAATGAAGGCTCTCGCTCCATCGAAGAAGAACTTGTCCAACGTGCTGCCCATACTGGTGGTGATGGGAGAAGTGGAGGCCGTGGCCAAGGAAATGGCGCCTCAAACTGCCTGCAATCAAACGTTCCGGATTGCTTTAGCTGCAATGGTATCCTACTCAATGATGGAGATTATTCAAATCAAATCTGGAGAGAGGAGTTTTCACAAGAGGAAAGAAATGTTTGTCTAGAGATGCGTCGCAATTGCCGCAATGGTGGTGGTGGTTGTGGCGGAAGAGGCCGCCAAGGCCGTGGTGGTCATGGCCATGGTATCAGTGCTGTCCATGATGGGCAAGCTGATCAAGAAGAAACAAAAGAAGAAGACAACAATGGTGGATGTGGGGCAGGTGCAGGAATGAGTGGTTGCCATCGCAACAATGGTGGCGCAATTGACTAGCAACCTCATCTGTTGGATCCCTCACTATAGAAAAAGAAAGACGGAAAACGAAAAGCACCAAACCAATTGGAACTCTGCAAACGGTATTCGTAGCCAAAGTACTAGAGTCTACGTAGAAATTGCAGCAGTTTTATCAATTCAACGGCATTTCACTGTTTTACAATGGGAAAGTATACATCTTTGAAGGTTGTGTCAACGGCTGCTAAGAAGGCAGGCGGATCAAAATCTAAGTCAGGTTCTACCTCCAAAAAGAGCGGAAAGAAACGATTGGAAAATGCATCCTCTGTTGATGTACGTCAACCTAAAGATAGAGATCCCAAGATCTCCAACGATTCCAAAACCCAAGAAGTGATCGACACATTGTGCCCACTGATTGACTTTGGGCTCTCCATTCAAGATTTAGTCGCTATCGGCTATGACAAGAACTTCACTCAGATAGAGTTTGGAAATCACGTTTTTACAAAATGGATCGACGACCACAACGCCTGCTGGTCTCAAGCCCTTCCCAGGTTCGACAGCCCTTTCCAGGACTTCTACGCTAAGTTCTTGGTCGAAGTTTGGGTTAATATGATCTTTGACGAATACAATAACGACTGGCAATGCTTTCTGGCCTTTTTTATTTTGACTTTTGAGGATGACGACAAGAACACGGAATATATCTGGGGAGTGAGAGCGATTGCTCTACAGGTCGCCCAACAAATTCCTTTCTCCTTTTTTGATATCGGTCTTCTGGGTGATTCGACAATTCAACATGATGACTTGTACTTCTGTCGTGACGATTCTAATCCTCGCCTACGACAAGAGACACCTTTGGTACAATTTTGGTTGATCTGTGCTACCATGTTTGATCATCCTTGGACTATGATGTTTGACGAATTTCTAGAGGTGACTCCTGTAAGATGCATACAGGAAATGAAGACTAAAGTCATCGCGGGTTTTCCGAACGACGCAGTTGACAAAGTTGAAATCCACAAGGGTGTCAGAAAGATTTTCGATCCGGAGTATGAAGATTCCGAGGAAGAAGATGCTCCAATCGGTGACAAAGATAATGGCTTGGTTAACAGGTACGCCCAACCTGATGGGTGGGACTCAGATGAGACCGGTGACGACAGCGAATTTGACAATAAGACTGTCGATGATGCTGATGATGATGATGATGATGATGACAATGACGATGCGTCTGAGGAATCCGTCATTATTGTTGAAAGCACTCGGCCAACCGACAATGAATTTGGTGATAGCCGATCCGGCAGAGGTCGCCACGCTGAGACTCGCACCATCACTGATGAAACAGTCTCCGAATTGACAGGAAACACAGGTGATGAATCTGACCCGGAATTAGCGTCTCCACCAAGAAAGAAAGGACGCTCTCAACGGGTGTCAATTGATGAACAAGCTACTGCAATGGATGTGGATGGAACGGACCCAAGCGTTGGTTCCCGACCCAGTGGAAAGCGGCTGCACCCGGCGCCAAGGTCTAAGCCTGCTACACAGGAGCCGGCAAAATCAAAGCCTACAACGAACGTTCCCGGGGCCAAACGGAAATCCCAACGAACTTTGACGCTGGAAGAGCGCCTGGATGATTTGCGCAATGTCGATCTGGATGGAATGGAAGGCAGGGCTATGTTGGTTGAGTTGGGCACGGTCTACAATTACTCAGGTCAGCAGGAGGGTAACCAATCACATGCTTCCAGTGTTGACCTTCCGGAAGGGAAGGCCAGTGTGTGTTGGTCTCTGCCAACAACACAATCCCCACTTGTTCTTCTTTCAACCACTGGTTAATCTGTTGTTGTTTCCATCCGGTTGCTGAGGCTGGAATGCCATTGACGTTCTGAAAGACAAGGCGAGTCGACGACTGTAGATGACATCTGTGATCGTCGCCAAAAAAATCACCAGGGGAAAGAGAACTTAGAAATTCCTCAACTGATGCATGGGGAACACCCGTCGAGGGGCCACTCGTTCTTGATCGTCTGCCTGCTCGCCGTGACCTAGCGGCAGACGATCGAGGGCCTCTCATTGCCCTGCCGTGGAGCGGGAAGCTCCACGGCCGGCCAATGATGTCTTCTTATCCTTCTTACCCTTAACCGGGACGGAGGGAGGAGACTGTTGAGGGTGGCGGAAGATGGGGAAGACCGACGGGGTAGATGCATCAGATTGGCTCCCCGATCCTTGAGTGTCAGTCAAGGACGGAGTGATAGACTCTGCATTGGTACCACCGTCCCGCTTGGGAGGACGTGCTGTAGGTGCCGTCCTCGGGGCTTGGTCCGGAGTCGCCGACTTGACCAAGGATTTGGGGCGAGTGGCGGCATTCTGAGGTGGTAACATTGTCTTGGGCCCAGGTGGAGAAGGAGATCCCGGCAGTGGGGAGGTGAGGGGACCTGGCTTGTTGGATCGTGCCGGAGTGGACGGTGAGTGTGGCTTTTCTGTGAGAGGAATATCCTCCTCCGTAGGCGACTTGTTTGAAGGCCCACTGTTGTCAAGCTGAGGAGGCCGATCCGTGCGGCCTGCTGATGTCTGTTGTAGTAAGCGCATTGCGGCAAGTTTGAGCGCCAACTGTTCAGATCGTAGTCGTTCGGCCTCCAACGCAGAATTCTGTTCGGACAAGAGATTGTCCTTGAATTCAATCTCCGTGATAGCAGCCTCCAGTTGACTATCCTTTTCCAGCAACTCATCCATGGCGCCAGCGACCGTAGCTCCGTCGTCAATGTCTTTAGCGTCTGCCATATCCATATCAAATTCTAACTTTGCTTCACCGACATCAAGAGGATCAGAGCCAAACCCATCCAGATAGTCCATAGCTTTGTCAACGCCCTGTTGAGTTTGGTCGGCTGGTCGTGCCCGTAGAGTCTCCAAGCACCACACAAGTTCCTTGCGGCGTGTCGCATGGATGAGAGACTTAGGGAACCATTTGCCCAGAACTCGGTTGGATCGAGTAGTCGTTGATTCCCCCAAATGGTGAGTGAAGAACGGAACCAGTCCTTTCAAAACATTTGTTGCCAATGCTGCGTACTTCAACCGGCTGATGAAGAGATAAGTCCCTTCCATTTTGCCAGGTAGAACCATGATGAACAGCGGGCTTGGGACATTATTCTCCAGGTCCATTTTTCGCTTCCTTTCCAACTCTCGGGCCTGGCGCTGTTGCGCTGGTGTCAGAACAGGGCCCTCGTTTTCGAGAGACAGTTTCTTGGAAGTTTTTGGGACCCTCTTCTTTATCTTTGTCTTCCCTTTGGTCGTCACTTTTGTAAACTTATGAGAGATGTCATCAAGGAGAGAATCGTCAGAGTCGGAATCGGTGTCCACATCGGCCGCAGCAACTTTATCAGCGTGCAGTGGCCGTGCCTTGACCGAGAGGAACATGGACAAACAGGTGCAAGGGCCAAAATCTTTTGTGGTCGCCTGTTTAAGCATTCCTGGGATCTCGACTGGGCAGTACTTGGCCTGGGTAAGTTCAACAAAATCGTTGTGCTTCAAAATCATGGTCAGATTCTCATCCTTCACTGGACCAACGGCCTTGACACTGAGTATCCCATTTTGAGCTGCCTTCCAATCGCTGATGTAGTGGGTGACGGCGCACCACGGAAAATCTTTCTTTGGAGTCAAGGGGTGAAGCCACAGGCGTAATGCCCGGTCCACCTGCTTGGCGTGTTTTGCTCTCACGTAGACGTGCCACATCATGCACCCTGGTGCTCTTTCGTTCCACTTGCTATGTCCGTTGTACGGGATGTTAACCCATTCATACCATAGTCCAATAACAATATCCCAACCAAAATGATGCATCAGTTCTTTCTTGATGGCCTTAATGTAAATCTCCTGAGGGTAAAAACATAAGGCTCCAATCTTTTCAATGTCACCAAACTGGAGAACGGATGAGTAGCAACCGGCGCCACATCCCTGATGTTGCAATTCTCCATGCAGACATTGCTGGATCATCTCCGACAACACGTCAGCCTCAAAACCTACTCTCAGCCGTGTGCGTAGCTTCTTTTCTCCCGGTTTGTTTGAAGTAGACGCGTACGACATGTTGCCAAAAGACATATCGAGGTATCGTGACAACCCGCGGTAATCAGGAATCAGCCACCAAAGGTCGGCTTCATTGCGAATCCACATCTGCATGTTCTTATACGTCCTGTTGGAAAGTGGTAGTATACGAAAGGTCTCTTCTGTGTTCCTGAGCATGTCGGACAAGGTGTCCAAAATATGTTTCAGGATACTGGACGCATGTGATTGGTTACCCTCCTGCTGACCTGAGTAATTGTAGACCGTGCCAAACTCGACCAACATAGCCCTGCCATCCATTCCATCCAGATTGACCTTGCGCAAATCATCCAGGCGCTCTTCCAGCGTCAAAGTTCGTTGGGATTTCCGTTTGGCCCCGGGAACGTTCGTTGTAGGCTTTGATTTTGCCGGCTCCTGTGTAGCAGGCTTAGACCTTGGCGCCGGGTGCAGCCGCTTTCCACTGGGTCGGGAACCAACGCTCAGGTCCGTTCCATCCACGTCCATTGCGGTAGCTTGTTCATCAATTGACACCCGTTGAGAGCGTCCTTTCTTTCTTGGCGGAGACGCTAATTCCGGGTCAGATTCATCACCTGTGTTTCCTGTCAATTCGGAGACTGTTTCATCAGTGATGGTGCGAGTCTCAGCGTGGTGACCTCTGCCGGATCGGCTGCCACCAAGTTCATTGTCGGTCGGCCGAGTGCTTTCAACGATAATGACGGATTCCTCGGATGCATCATCATCATCATCATCATCATCATCATCATCATCATCATCATCATCATCATCATCATCATCATCATCATCATCATCATCATCATCATCATCATCATCATCATCATCATCATCATCATCATCATCATC